TAGGTTTCCTCCGGGTGCTCTGGTTATCCCTACCAATAAAAAACATGTACAGTACAATAGATAAAATCCTCAGCTCTGGTGGTCCTGACCAGTGGGGGCAGGTCCCAGCTCAAAAGTGGCCAAAATGACGTGCGCTGACATGCTTGCAATACCACCCCGATGGGGGTGGACCCGGAATAAGAATTAGCCAATGCTAACATATAGCATTGGCAGACCTCTCAAAAACGTCTTTACAGGATGGACCAAAAGTTGGCTCATGGCCCAAAGCTCCGTTCCACATGTGTGTCAATGCTGAGGGGGGTGAATTTTTTTGGTCCACTCTAGTTTACTTGCTGTGAATTTTTGAAGTCTCTCGTTCAAATGAATGGAGCTGCGCCGGCTGACGCATGCGCAGATGCGTTTTTTCACAATTTTCTTATGGGCGGGACCACTCACGGCCATTTTGGATAGCTCCAGTAGAGCAATTTTTTTGGCCCATTTGTTTGAACGGCGGAGATAGGCGTGACTACGTCCATTATTTTTTACAGTCTATGGTCCAGACCGAGGCGAGCTTCAACATCCTGTGACCACTGCTCCTGAGAGAGACCAAAGACACATCACACAGTGGGTCAAATGCAGACACTTCCCTACTGGGACAATAAAGAGTAACATAACATAACTTCATCTTGTCCTCTCGATGATTACCCACAGCTTACGATCATATTGAGAGAACGAAGACTGAGCAGTAAATGTCTCTTCACCACAACAGTTCGTCTCTCTCTCTAACTCAAACCACTCAAAAAGAAGAAATATTAAGATGCTATATGCTTTTGCACTACTATCACATTGTTCCTTTTTATGCAAGCTGCAGTGGAGTGTGATGAATAAACAAGATCTGAACATTCAAATATGTCAAATCCTTGTCTTGTTCTCCTGGTGGAGCTAAGCATTCCTCGATTGGGAATGTGTTTTCGAACACAGGACTTCCAATACCAGCTTTAAGAATGTGGCTATCATGCTTTTCTTATAAGTCAATCGCCCTAACAGAACATTTTCAAGCCATTTTCTAACAGCCTTAGGAAGTAATTTGAAGACAAGAGCAATTTAGACAGAAACGTGGCAACAAACTTTTAAGAAAATGTATGTAATGCGTCTTTCTGATGGATCTGACAACTTCTTGCCTTCATGGAGATGGGGTCATTATAACTGTAAGATCTTTTATATATCTATAATAATCTATAATAAATAAAAAATCTATAATAAATGTATTGTTGAGATAGATTCTAGTCTGGTCTGCACTGCACTTGCATAAAAAGTAATACATATTGTAGATTTGCCTGCTGTACTGTATTCTAATCTCAGAAAAGCAGTGGAGCTTATTATTTTGAACATTTTAAATCCCATAAATATTGATCTGAAAATAGCATAAACTGCAAGTCTCACCACAACATCGTGCCTACATTGCTAAAACTCAGAAACCGAGATGGGACAGCGCTATAATGCGATGTATATAAGTATATTTCCCAGTCCTTTATATCTGGCTGTTCAAAGCCCACAGCGGGGCAGATTGACTGATCCCTCTTCAGCTCATTCTGGTCTGAAGCAGCCGAGCGTTTGCAGTTTTAGAAAGGAGATGTGACACCAGTTGCCCTGCTTCTGTGGCTTCTGCAGCTCTTTCCACTGGATGACTGCACTGTTATCACTGACTGCAGACTCCCATTACTGCAGTGACTTTCTGCAGAGCCCAGGACGAGGCGCCGGAGTGTGGATCAGAATGGTTAAAGGGGATAAAGGTCCGCACTGAACAAGAAATAAGACTTCAAAAAAAGAGAAAAAAAAGTTTTAAAGCTATACATGGATCAAGCATAACATTATGACCACCAGAGCAATGGTCGAAGTGCTGGGACTAGCTTAGCCATTTTGAGGTTCAATTCAATTTGTATAGCCCTAAATCACAACAGGACTTCACAAGGTTGCCGATTCACCAAGAACAAATCAGAGAAACCAACAGAATGAACAGAGGAAACACAATAATAACAAACACACAGGAGCCAATGGTTCATGGGGAGCAGGATGACCATTATGTCCATAGATCTTAATAAATGTTATTAAATGTCATCACTGTCCTTAGACCCTTCTGCATCGGCAAGGAAATAATCCCAGGTTGAGGTCTGATTAACCCTTTAATGGTTTTCTCAACCATTGGCACATCAGAGTGTACTATAAAATAAGACAAAAGCCACTTGATTTAAGCAATCACTACCTCATATTTTAATAATTTTTTTGCAGTGTATATCTAATTGAGGTTTGGAACTTAAATCCACCTCATTGGGGCATCTCTAGCACTTGGTTTTAGGCACTTTTACCGTCAAACTGCATTTCAAGCACTTGGTAAAGGCAAATCATGAATATTAAAAAAAACAGTTGTGTATTCTATCCACACTCTTTCTAACGTACTGCTGTTTCTTTCCTTGTTTTATGAAGCACTTCAACTTGTGTATGAACTGTGCTATACAAATAAACTTGCCCTGTCCTTGCCTTATTATTGTTATTTGTACTGTCATTAGTGGATGCTGATGAACCACATGTTTCTCAGTCAGGACCAGGACAGCTGGGTCTGGGAACGCCTCAGGATTCCCCCGGATAAGCTGGAGGAAGTGTGTGTGTGGACAGGGGAAGTCTGGGTGTCTCTACTTATAGACTGCTGCCCCTTCCACCCGGCAACGGATAAAGCGGAGCAGGAGGTGCAGACACACAGGAGGTGCATTTAATGTTATGTCTTTTGTATCTTTGATCTGCTTTTTATTTATTTTTTATTATTGGTGTTTAAACATTATAGGGTTTTTTATTTTTTTTTAAGTTAAAGGTCCCATACTACACTTTTCAACTTTTCTATGCTTTAAAACAAAAATCATTACAGTGCTATTCAGCCTTCATACACGTGCCGCAAAGTATAGTTTTTTTCACTGATTCCCTCAAGCTTTAGTTATTTATCTATATGTGTTCTATTTTCTTCATGGTAATGCAACAAAATACCACAATAAACCAGCAAATACAACAGTAACGCATTCCATGAAAAGTTAGAGAGCGATCTTTCTCTTTTCATGCTCACAGGGGGAGGAGCATAGACCAGCTTGTTTTAATTGTGGTGACATCACCTCTAGCAAAGAAATGGCTATAATTTGACAAGTTTTGAGTGTTGTATGGTTGTATGGTGTCTGGTGTATCACTCACATTAGCATCACACATGTGCTTAGGATGGACTGTGAAAAGGAAGCAAATTATGGGACCTTTAAAATAACAGGCTGAATGGTTCAACCATAACAAAACATTTATTAAATCACACATTTTGATATCACAATCAACACAAACCATATGGATCCGGCCACTTTATATAACTGCTACTATTTCCCTCGTTAGGTCAAATCCATTTCCTGTTTATGAGAATGTTGTACAGTTTCTCAAATGTGTAACTTCGGATTGAAAACAGCACCGCTTTTCACAGCACAGACACTAAACTTAATTTTCGCCTCCAAAATTGTTACGCAATGTGCTTTCAATTATTGATGTCAACAATTTGAGCTACAGGAGTTCTTCGGATCGCTCTGCATTAGTCATTTATCACCAGTTCAGCTATGTAGATATATGGAGACGCCGATTATTTTGAACTCCCCAAAAACTTAACCACGTTTGATTCAATTACAGTTTTGGGAGCTGAGAATGTTCATCACCCGTTGACAGGCGCCATATGAAGCAATAATCTGTCTTCTTCAATTAGCTGTCAGCGAGGTTACGCCTGCAATCTTTCATTATAAGGCGATTTGAGATTCTGCGAGGCACAGACCGGCTTGTCCATTAGATTTACCCCCTATATGAATATAACATTATACCTCCCTCTCACTTTTCTACGGGAAGTTTCAGGTGTCAAGTGGAAGTATGCCGATTCAATGCTGCTGCTGCAAAAAAGAAACCTCCAAAGGATCTCTCCCTCTCACAGACAAACATGTGTTCTCTAAAATAACTGCTTCAGCTTGCCGTGATAAACGACATAGGATTTCCTTTGTGAAAAATAGGAAGAGCAACGTTTTTTTGGTCCGCCACAATCAGTTAATCAACATGTCCTGTTTACATGAGTTTAAATTTACACTTTTGAATCCTGTGTTTTGCTTGAACTTGGAAATAACATCATCAGAACCAAAACTCCACTTTTTTGTTTAAACACAAGCAGTTGTCAATTATAAAACAAACATATGGTTTCTATGGTTACCTGAGTGGCAAAAATGGGATTTATTCAACATTGGAGCTGGGTCTGAACTTGGGCTTTAGCTACAGCTATAGGTTATGGAAGAGGCAAAGAGGCTGCACACTTAATATGCCACAAATGAATGAACTAACATATAAAAAACTAATTTAAATCATGACTCAAAATAAGTTAGCACTAAATAAAACAGAAAGCTGACTTTGCGAGGCTGTCATATAGGCTCAGGCACCTCAACATTTCCATAACAGCAAAATGATGATTCATTATTTCAGTGTGAGACCTGCACTTCCCATTGCCATAAGTGGCTTTTTCAACACATGCCAATTTCCAAACAGCAATCAGCCTGCGCACACCTTTTAATGTCCAATTACGCATGTTAAAACCAATGATTAACCAACCAGTACAGCCATCAGTCCGAGATAATGATAGCAACCATTCACCGGGCTGAGAACAATGAATGAGCCTATATACTGTACATGGGTGGTTTCCTCTCCACCTGAAGCGTAGGCAATTCGACTCACCACAATGTATATATATATCTGATAAAGCAATAACTCCTCCCAATTTTTTGGAACAATGCACAAGACGTGACCAAACGCGTTGCACTTTCAGTTATTTGGTTGTAAAAACACAGCGATTTCTGTCACTACTTTGTCTTTGACAGGCGCTGCTCTCCTTCACACCATCCCATGCTCGCCTTACCTTGACCTATAGTCCCGGCTTCTGTCTCTGTGTTGAGGCGGTATAGTCCCGGTGCTGCATGCTCCGCTTCGGGTCTGTGTCACGGGAGAGAGTGGCCGGGATCCGAGCGCATCCTCCGGTGGAAAGGCGCAGGAGCAGCCGTCTCTGTGGCTCCGGGGGCAGAGGCAGCGCGCACACGGCTCGATCAGCGCCTTACCACGCCTTCAGCCGCCGGCTATTATGTGAGACAGGCTAGCTCGCATCCCCACCCTCCTCCTCCTCCTGCTCTGTGTATGTGTGTATGTGTGTGTGTGTGTGTGTGTGTGTGTGTGTGTGTGTGGGCGTGTGTGTGTGAGTGTGTCCGTGTGGGTGCGTGTGTCGCTCTCTCATCCAGCAGCTGCCACAGTGCGCACAGAACAATCGAGCCTGGAACCCATGTGCGTAAAAGCCATGAGTTCGCTGTGTGTGTTGGTGCTGTGTGTGCGTGTGTGTGTGCGTGTGTTGGTGCTGTGTGGTGCTGTGTGTGTGCGTGTGTTGGTGCTGTGTGTGTGTGAGGTCCGGGTGGATGTGAGGTGGAAATGATTTTATGCATAAAAATCTGTTTTCAGTAAAACATCATTTAACTCTTCAGGCGCCAAAGTAGCAGAATTGCTACTTGAGCTCCTGAAAGACACTTTCTATACAGCGACTTGGCCTCCACAAACATGTTTCTTTCATATATGTTTTTCTTTTCTTCTCTATATATTATGAAGCAATTACATATTGATCTCTGTACATTTTGTGTGCTCTTAAAGGTTCTCTTATCTTTTCCTGTTTATAATGTCATCCTTTTATAAAAAGTTTAATTCTGGTTATTGTTAGTAGTAGTCGAAGAAGTAGTAGTAGGAATAGAAGTAGTAGTGGTTGTATTAGGTTTTGTTCATTTTAATTATGTATATTTTCGAAGAATTCTTTGGAATATAATTTCATAACAAATGTATGGTTTATCTCTTATCTCAAAAGTACAGTTTCAAATCATATTTTACTGGGGTTATCCAAGAGTCACTTATATCTGTTGTTGATTTTAGTCATCTATCCCTTATACGTTTTCAGGGCATTGCATTTCTAGGAAAAGTAAAATTTTGGCAACTATAAGGTTAATTGATATATTGTAGTATTATTATTATTTATCAAGATAAATTATATTACGACTTTGACATTCCTATTTTACTTAACTTTAGGGTACCTAACTTTTTCTTTTCAGAGAGATTAGAAAGAAAGATGCTGTGAGCTGATTACTGAGTCCTCCCTTTTTCATTTTTTAATCTAAACATGAGGCCAGAAATACATACATGTGAAAACTTGTGACATACTCATTTGAGAGTATATGTCATTTGAGAGTATGTCACAAATCTATTGCTTTAGATATACTGTTTTTAAACTCCCTTGACCCAGCAACGGAGGAAGCAGGAGAAAATGGATGTACTTTTTACACTGACAAAAGTAGAAAGTGTGTGTTTATGTATTTCTAGTTATGTATGTTATGTTTCTTTTTATACAATCACCCGCAGCAGCCAAGCAGACCTCGTCCCAAACTATAGTAAACACACACACTGCATTTGTCAGTTTTACATTTGCAATTTTCATCTCAAATATATTCTCAAGTTAGATACGACGGTATGTAATGGTCTAATTTTGTTACAGAGGTTAATGTACTTTTCAGTGGGATGAATGGCAGCATGACGTCAGTGTCACTAATGTAACCCTGAATAACATCTGTCAAATTAAAACAGCAGCAATATCAGTATTCGGTCAATTTCTGGGAAGGTATAATGACTCTTAGATAGATAGCAGAGACAAGAGGGACCTGAAAAAGGGCCAAAGGGAGAAACTATTGTTGAAAGTGCACAGTGACCACAGCAGGCTAATTTAACTAGCACTTGGACAGCTATGATTATACAGCAGCAGAGATAACTATTAGGTCCACGTCGCTTCACACATTACTGACCTTCTCTGGCGCTGGGGAAGTAAATTGTTGGTGTTCGTTTCACACTCTGTGATATTCATCCCCTGTGGTGTGACTGTGGCACTAAAATATTCATTACAGGATTTTACCCATGTGGTCATTGTGTAAAAAGAAAAAAAGGCCAAAGTAAACAGGGCTGTCCAGATGATATTTCAGATAGTCCCTCATGCGTACAGCTCCAATGTTTGAGCATGTTTGAAGTTATTCCTGTCATTTTGACTTTTTTAAGTAGGACCAAACTCATACACCAATAGTTTTACATGTCAAGTCTCTCTTATTATATTTATATTATATTTATTTTAAACAAACCTGAGATCTAAGAAGGAATTTTTCTATACTAATATCATCGAATTAAACAATTATTCCAATTATCATTCACAAGAAAAGCCATTATTTCACAGCTTAATTTTCCTTATTTTCATTCTATTAATGAGATGAGCATTGGCCTTTGTTTACTTTGTGGTCACTATGGTCACCACCTCTACCTGTCATATCTGCTGCCAAATGTCCAACCAGGAAGTAACATGAGCAGATTTTAAAACCTGGGCAAGATTTTGAGTTGAATCTTAAAAGTGTTTTTTGTGTGAAATTAGATGAGCTTCAAAGTATGGTTTCTAACATGATCCGGTCTGACTAATTTAGATTTATTATGATACAGCCGTCTTGGTCCAGTCCAGGTTTAGCTCTAGGTCATTAACATACATTTGCCCATTCACTGTCCTTTGCTGCTTTGTGCTTAGTGAGCTAAAAATGATATATATGATATATATTTTTCAGTTTATTTCTTTATTTGATAAGGAAGAGTGTACCCAATCAACATGTGAAGCACTACAACATTTATAGCCCATGTACATTTATAATGTCCGTCCCTAGAAGGGCTTTTAACAGAATTAAAAACACAATGTAATGTAATGTATTTTATTGTACATTTGTGACATGTTTGTGCCATATAAATCAACTCAGACTCTGAGGAGCACAGGGACTGGCCTCCTGCTGGTCCCCAGGGTCAGGACTCAATATGGGGAGTCAGTGTTTAAGATTTATGCAGCTAAATCTGGAACAGTCTTCTGAAAATGTGAGACAGGCTTCTACTCTGTGTATAAAAATAAAGGATTGCATATTCTGTGATTATTTATGATTTGTGTTCAGTTTTTACTTAAACTTGCCATGTTGCTAAAATAAAATAAATAAAATAAATAAAATAAATAAAATAAATAAAATAAATAAAATAAATAAAATAAATAAAATAAATAAAATAAATAAAATAAAATAAAATAAATAAAATAAAATAAAATAAAATAAAATAAATTAAATAAATTAAAATAATAATAGAAAATGACACAAACAAAACAATCAAATAAATACATTCTGATTGCTCACATAAAACGATATACAATCATCAAAGGTGTTCTAGGGCGGCAGGAGGGAGATGTAAGTTCACAGTTCATTTAAAATGGCCTCTTGCCTCGGAGACAGGTGGCTCCAATTGGCCACGGCCAAGATTCATAGTCATTCCACTCACAGCAAGAATGCATGTCAGTCTTTCAAGGTATAAAAACCCCTCCAGTTAAAGTCCTCAGAAAAGGTAATATGCAATAAGACTGGCCATACATTTTCACCAGATTACATTTTGTTTGCAGCCAATAGCAATAAGGACCCGACACTGCTCTGGCATTGTGGTGATTCAAGTTATAAAATGGAGGCAAAAATATATATCATGCTTCTTGTAAATCAGATGCAATAGAAAAGCTTTGGCTATGAACAAAAAAACGCATATAAAATTACAGATAATAACTATTGAAATACTCTGAGCATTAAAAAGTAAATTAAAATTGTGACGAAAACTCCCAATCACCTGAAATAGCCTGTGGAGGAAGTGCTGTATACTGTATGTAGTATTAGCCAATCAACTCTCACCTTCCCCACCCCCCTTTCCCTGGATTTCTGACAGCAGACATGAAAAAGAGTCTCATTAAGATCCCCCAAAACCATCTGGCCATGTAGTCTCCTCCTCAAACACGGTACAGCAGTGTAAACAAAAGGCACTGCCCTCATTGACCCAATTAGACGATTATTTATTATTCAAATGAGCACACTCCAACCAGCAAAAGTCAAGGGACATTTTAGCTGTTACCAGAGGGAGGATTACATTTTCTCAATACTAATCATGGCAACAATATCTAGAAATACAATAGCGCATTATGTTCAGGACCACCACATGTACAACTGAACTTGACTTTCCTCTGTAATAGGTCATTAATTATACAAAAACATGTTTATTTTGTGAAAAAAACGTTGTTCTCTCCCCTCATGGCTGATCTCACCTGAGCCTAAAAGAGAATCTGGGTGGGGTCGGTTGATGATTTGTATGGGAGGCTGTGTACATGTATGTATACACTGTATTTATTTATTTGATATAGACACAACAGTTGCTTTGGACAGATTCACTGCCTTTAGTGTTATTGCAAGACCATGTTCATTTTAAACACCTTTCTATAGGAGGCTTTAAGAACATTTAACAATTACAAATATACAAATACTGTTATTTGTAGTTAATTCAAAGAATAGCTCAGATTTTAGCCGTTTAGATGTTTAAGGGGGTTTGTATAGTTTTAGGTCAGTGGGAAGAATATGGAACATAGGAGTCAGTCTGAGGCCCCGGGGTTAGGTCTGCGAGAGCCGTGACAGCTGACAGCCAGAGCAGATTCATTTAATGTCAAATATAAAAACATGGTGTGGTTTTTAATGAAATGATCATCGGTAGAAGGCAGCGGCAGCCTCTTTCCTCATTCATGTTGTAATTACTTTGGGTTTCTTGTAATTTTGTGCTTACTTGTCATGGTATTGCTGACGTCCACATGTGAGTCAATGATCAAAATGCCACGCCCCATAATTTCAGAATCTTTCAAATGAATTTCGACTGACTGCAACCACCAGCAAGACCAATGTGGAAATTGGGATTCAGTTTTTTATGTGGAGCAACTCTTCAACAGATGATCTGGGAATATGCTGAACATGCAAATCTGATTGCACTAAAAAACAGTTTAAAAAAGAAGTCCAGAGCAAGTGATGAGCGAGAGGAGTGTGTGTGTGTGTGTGTGCCTGTGTGTGTGTGTGTGTGTCGGTGTGTCAGTGTGTGTGTGTGTGTGTGTGTGTGTGTGTGTGTGGGTGTGTGTGTGTGTGTGTGTGTTTACGTGCATGTACAGTATGTGTGTGGGTGTGCATTTATTGGGGGAAAATATCTCCTTTTCGAATCATGTATTGTTGTTTTTCTGTATCCTGTTTATTGTTTTTATTTTGTGTGCATATAAGAAAGAAAAAAAGACATATTTAAATCCCAACATAGAAACAGCCTGTGAAACAAAATATAAAAATATGAAGACGTTGACAGCAAGAGTTCTAAATTTCATCACACTATAAGAAACTCACCACATTTTAATATCACCAAATACACAGAAAAATATGGATAGAACTAGAATAACGAAACAGAACGATGTGTCAAAATGTATCACGGCCTTTGTTATCGGCAGAACATTTGAAAGGATTTGCTCAAGAAGGGGTCAAACTACTGTATGTGTGAAATATTGCTGCTGTTCTGCTGCTGTCACACTGTACAATGAGAACTACTGAGCCTTTACCTGTAGATTCATCTGTAAATAGTCAATACTGTAATGCTGTGCAATGTGCAATACTGCCATTTCAGAATGTCCACTGAATGTCACTGTATCTACATACACTGCCCTACATGTATATATCTTTACACTATTTATATAGACAGACGGAGACATATCGATATATTGATATTGAAGCCTTTACAGCTAGCTAAGAAACATAGCAGCAACTCGTATTGTATATTTAGTGTTCTCCCTGTGTGCTCTTCCTACTGTCCTGGATGTGCGCTACAAAATTGAAACTTCCCCACAGTGGGACATTTTTTCAATTGTCAATCAATCAATACGTTTTTTCTATAGAGCCCTTTACAACACTCAAGGCGACCAAAGTGCTTCACAATGAAATTACATAAAATCCATCAAAACATTTATGCATTAAAACAATAAAACAGTTAAAAACAGTTTTAAAAAATGTCACCGAGCTAATGAGTCTGAATAAATACGTTTTGAGCCGCGATTTAAAAAGGCCAAAATCAGAGAGGACAGGCATGTCAGGGGGCAGCTTGTTCCATTGTACATAATTACATCCTGTACAGACTATATATTTAACCTTTCACACTTCTGTCTTTTTGCACAATCTGAGTGACTCCATCTGTGCCAAATGTGATGTGTTCATTTCTCCAGTGTGAGAAAATAAAGTCACTAAAGTCTATCTTATCTTGTCTTGTCTTATTAGATCTGGCTTTCAAAAAACACTTAAAGTGGTTCTCACCCCCGCTCCTCACGGCCTACGTCACTCACACTTCCTTTTCAAAATCTCCCTCCAAATGGGCGTAGCCTGGAGGGCTGAAGGGGACAGGCGGGGGGGTGAATGTTGGGCGGGTCTAAGCTTTGAGTGACACTTGACATCAGCATTGGCCGTGTCAATGATGGAGAGTGAACACAGCGACGCCAGCTCCACAGCTTCTGTGCGGTCTTGGGAGGTGGAGGACTTCTCTCCACCGTCCTCACCGGAGGTTGAGAGAGAGGAGGCAGACAGTGGCCCTCAGCCCTATCAATTTGAGCCGCTAGCGCGCGAGCTAGCTAGCGCCACCAGGGGAGCCGATGCTGCAGAGGCAGCGGAGGCAGCAGACCGCCACAGAATGGGGCCTGTTTCTGAATGGTATATATAGATTTGAGAGGGGAAAAAAATACCCACTGCTTGTTACAGGTCTTGAAGAGCAATCATGTAGGGATCCGGACCACGAAATGCTAACCTGTCTGAATTGAACCTTTTGAGAAGAGTGGGAATTTATGTAGCCTAACACATTCCCATACAGTAACCCCTTATGTTGCGTTGCTTTGCTAGACAGTTTTGTCTGTACATTATATTTATGAACCCAGACCAAGATAAACTATATGTTGTGGGACCATATAGTTATATTATAAACTCTGCTACAATAGGTGCACCTGCGGCCACTGCACATCCCTGTCCCCAAGGGAAAACGTGTGCTGCATGGAAACCCCGAAGGTATTTATACCCCAAGTAATGTGCACAAAAGAAACAGTAATTTAACACACGCTCTAACATCTTGACTACACTAGTCTCGGCCCTTACTTATTAATTCAATTTCCGTCTGTCATAGGTTATGCACAGATGTCAGCAGGTGGGTCATGCCACCTGCATAACCCAGCACCCTGGATTTGAGCCAGAGGCTCTAAATCCGTACGTGCTCCAAGCAGTACATGCTACTTACATGCAGCTGTTTGGAGACATGCCTGAGACCATGCTCAACAGGTTAGTTTAGTATGATTATGTGTTAGCTCCTTACTAAAAAACAAAATCCACGTTTTATCTTTCTTTCAGCTGTTACAGATTTCTGGCATACAGGAATTTTGTCCGGTGGTGCTGGGGTTACTTAGGGCAGCATATCCGTGTGGTCATCCCCTCCTGTGCTGTGAGCAGGATAAGATGCCAATTCCCAGAACATGGAGAATACACTGGATTCCTCCCACCACTGCAATTTGTGTAGTTGCATAATGTATTGTTTTATTATAGTTTTACATGTTATTTTAATAAATATCCTCCAAATACAAATATCAAAAAAGAATTGCAGTAGTTAGTTATTGGTCCATTATAACACCTTTCTTGGTATCAATTTGAAATCATGATTGCATGCTCCACTCAATATCTAAGCAGGCAGCTTTTGGAAGATGTGCTGCACCCCTAACAATAAGTGTTTTTGTAGTTGCAGTGTCAGCAGTAAGGGACTTTAGTTATTACAGTGACAACTTTGAGGTGCAAGTTATCATAAACAAACAAAGTATTTTATTAACAAATACCTATAACAGAATAAAAGTCCTTTATGTAAAATGGATAAATCATTTGCAAAGGAAGCATAAAGTAGAGCTTGATTACATACAAAAAAAACATGGACTGTCCATTGTCCATGCCACCTATTTGTCTGGTCCTTCAAAATAGACAAAATAGTTCAGCTTGTCAATGTAGTCAAAATAAAAGGAAAAAAATTCTCCTCATAATACTTATAAGCGTCATGCTAATTTGAATATATGAAGTAGGGTTGGTCTTGGCTCTCACAGTGCAGCCTCCACGCTTGAGTTTTAGATTAGCCTTTTTTAATCATAATTCAAGACACCAACCTGCACCCTGTAATTGAACAACAAAATCATTAATATACAGTATGTATTCTACTCTGAACATTTCAAAGCTATGAAATAACTCAAGTCAATATTATACCTGGCCAGCATTACTTGGAATAAGGCTGCAAAATGCCTCAATATGCAAAGTGTGGTATCGTGATCTTATTTTAGTTACAGCTTTCAAAAACTGGTGTTAAAAAAAATCTAAAGAGTCTCTCACATGCTGCTGTGCCTACATGGAATTATACAGAATTACAAAGAATAATACATTGATATGGCAAGTGTAAATATATCAATATAAATTAGATATAGGGATAAGAACTTGTACTTACACACTTGATTTTGGCCACACTCTCGCATCCCCAACCAAAGGCCTGTGAAGACATTGAGTGTACAAGTCTCTTTCCTTTAGTGTGGACATTCTGAATGTAATTTCCCACAGATGTCCACAGCCTCGTCATCACCTGAGGACTTTGATGGCGATCAGTAGAGATGGATCATGTAAATGGTTTACAACACCTCATCACCTCGTCATTTTCTCAGTTCACCTTCTCTTGCCCAGTTCTGCATTTCTTTCCGATCACTGGGACAACCAACAAAGAATATATATATATATATATATATATGTTATTATTTTTTAACATGACATACAATTACATCATCTCTTTGCCATACAACATGATCCAAGTCACAACTTTCTTAAAATCTGTATCCAGTACCGGTTGCTTTGGTCACCTTATGTCTTATTGAAGAATCTGGACCTGTGCCTGCTCACAGCCTCCTGTTTGTCTGGCTTCTCATACTGTGCACAGAGTGGTTCAGGCACAGGGACCTTTTCAGAGTGCTCCTGATACAGGAGAGGATCCCCCACCACATTGTCAAATAGAAGAGCCATCAGCTTGTCAATATAGCCTGTAAAAAAAGAAAAAAACATTTGTTTTCACTGACTTATACGCATTGAACTCATTGTGTAAATGTGACATACATGAGGTAGGTTTGGTCTTCAAGGCTCTCACTGTGTAGTCTCCTTTTTTGTACTTTGGGTATAAAATGGCATACCTAAGCACACCCTCTATGGTTGTAGCCTGAGACCTGTCTGCATTTTCATTATAATGTAACGCAGCAACTTGCAACCTGGGAACAAAAAAATATATTTACATGTATATACACAGAACATAAAATAATGTAATACTTTCTGTAAGTTTTACCGAGCCAACATTCCTTTGAAGGAGAAGCCCACGCTTTTTGGGGAGAATCTGATAATAAGACTGTGGAAGGCCTCCAGGGTTGATGTGTGGTACAGTGGACTAATTTTTTCCACATCCTTCACAAAACGCGGGGCCAAAAGAATGTCTGTCAGTCTCTCACACGCTGCTGTACCTAGAGTAAAGCATTGCAATAAACATAACATACAATCATACACATACTGATTACAAATACTGAACTTACTTGGGCTGAGCCACACCCTTGACCCTTCCCCAACCAGAGGCCCGTGTAGGCACTGAGGGAACAGGGCATTGCCATGAGTGTGGACATTCTGCATGTGGTTGGCCACAGACGTCCACTTGGCGACAGCCTCTTGTCCCGAGGTGGAGGTGGAAGCCGACCAGTACAGGTGGTTTACCACACTTTTCCTCCACAGACCCACATCTTGCGTGCTTTTTCGTTTCCCCAGCTCATCCACTTTTTTCCCAATTCCTAGGTATTACAATATATATTTACTAAATGCACAATAACCATGACATAACACAGGAATCCCAAATGCATACCCTTTCCCATGTGCCATGGGTCAAAGTAGTGACGAATCTCTGGTCTTTGCTCCCGTAAAAACTTTTGAACGCCAGTGTGTCGGTCCGTCACTATGGCCTCCACATTGACACCCCTTTCCTCCAGCATGGTCAGACTCCGCACAAGCCCCTCCTTCTCCATGCGCACGCTGTTTCCAACCTCATTGCTCTATTAATTAAAAACAAAAATACGAATAAATAATTATGTCACTAAGCACAGACTTATCCCAAATAAAATATTCAGGTTTTTATTGAATGGTATTACCTGCACTAGTTGGATATCAACAACTTTGTTACTCTTTAGATCCATCATTGTGTAACTCCCATATTTGGCTGAATGTCCTACACAAATGCAAGTTGTACATTAGCTGACATGTATTAATACTTCAAAAAAAAAGTTGAAGTAATGTATTTACCAGGTGAATCAGCCCGCATGTCCCCACCTAGTGTAACAGTGCCATTTTCAAGAGCCTCCCTGATGAGGTCATCTTGCTCCAGCTTCCACTGCCAGTTAACCGTGGGGATGAGGAGCTTTGCCTGATGCCTGTAGAAGCATTGCTCTGACAGTCCCTGAATATTGAAGGCCCCAAAGAACTGTGTAATAAAAAGATCTGTTATCACCTGATATTATATGTATAAAAATAACACCATTCCTTTGTTTTAGTAGTACCTTTGAAATCTGGCTAAATGATGAGCCGGTGAACAGCACAGCAGCACAGAGCTGTAGGTTCCCAGCTGGGATGTTGTTCACCATCGGTTGACTGGACCACTCATTGGAGTACTCACAGCGTGGACATTGCTGAGTGACCCGAAGCATTGTACCGATTGTCATCGTGTCCACAGTACAACGACCAGTGCAGACAGGGCATCGCCTAAACAGCTCCAGCAGGTGGTGGTCCTCATCATGTTAAAGCTCCTGCGCCGCACTATGAAATGAATGACAACAACAATGAGCTTGTGGTTTTTTTGTAAATCCAGTGTGCACCCGAAGCAACAGTTCAACCATCGTCGGCCTCCCATACTAATGTGTAACACTCGCCCCGCCCACCCTTCAACTAGTCGCCATGTTGTCTGTTACAAAATTCCGCGCATGCCCACGGAAGATTGGGCTTGATCCCGTCATTGCGTCAGAGCGCCACCAACAGTTCTGGCATAGTTTCACAGCTGTTTTTCAGGGCGTATGACTACATTTCCATATGGAACGCACACATTTACTGAGCTAACTCCGTGTTTACAGAAAAAGTTTTCTGAAATTATAAGCGTTTTGTACTCGAAGTGGATAATGCCTAATGCACAAGGAATGCCTTTTCTCTCTTTCTTCTCCCAATGATGCCCAACACAATACTAGCCTCTACAAGGTGACAATTGCCACTGTACACATACTTCATTGCCGTTTTGAGTGTAAAAAGTGTCCGAGTGGTAATTGAACCCAAGTAATCCCCTAGATTGAACAAGCCCATCAACACAACCCTGAACTTCTCAGTGTCCAGTAGCGAAATGTCACATTCTAGAAGTATACATACTCGCTGTAACTCATGTGGTGGGCCTTGCATCTGAATATCGCGAAAAAAGAACGATATATCATATTGTAAACAAGTTACAAGCGATGAAACGGCCCGTGTCTGAGTCACCAAGGGCTGTGAAGTTTTTTTTCGTTTCGTAGGGCGTTGCTATGGGGGTTATTTCGAGTTGGTGGGATCAGACATGAAAAATACAAAACTGAGTTTGAACCACTTTAGTAGTTCTCTCTATATAAAATGGTATTAAAACTGTATTTCTAAATAATCAACCCTCTAAGTCTTTAATGTGTGTTTTTTTGGTGTGTGCGTTCGTTCGTGTGTGTGTGTGTGTAGCGGCTCTTTCTCCTGCATCACTGTCCTGACACTCAGATTGATGTTGTCAGCCTAACAGTGCATGTCCATTTGACAGCAGCCAAAACGAGGGCATCTTCACATCTTCCCACATCATCACATTTAACAGTGTAGTTGCACATTTTCATGATACATCAATAGACGCACAAGAAAACCCATCTCCAGTATGAAGAAACAGTACGTGTTTGGGATGTATCAGCGTCTATGACACATGTCTGTTGATCTAATATATGTATCTGTTATTGCCTAGGAAGACAAATGAGAAAAGATATTCTTATTGAGGGTGGTCATCCATCTTAGGAGAGGTGAAAGTGGCTCGTTGTAGACCATTGGCCTTTGAGCCTGAAGGTATTGTGGTTCGAGCCCAGCACGGGGTAATTCTCCACGGACTCTCAAATTTTGGCCAATTGGTTCCGAATGGTACTGCCAACTTGATAAAAAAGAGAAACTGCATGAAAATCTAAAAAACTTAGAAGTTCTGGAAACTTTACACATTTGTTTCAACACACAATGAACAAAATTGGCGTTTAAAATGTTCTTCTTACCAATGAAAAAGGTTTTTTAGGGCATTTAATAACATTGAATTTGGAGGCAACGGCTTAAAAAAACAGTTTTTTTTCCAATCTTCAAATGGATGGAAGAGTGAAAAAAAATGACTTAACATTATTTCAGTGTACTATTTACATAAACTAGAAGGCCTAGCTTTAAAATGATGCATTCACACAAGCATGTGAGTTTAAGATTTTTTTAAATAAGCAAAGACATTAGGGTGATGCCAAACTTTGTGCAACGAGCCAAGAACAGATGTAGAGTTTAAGAGAGGTTTTAACTCTCCAAACTGTTTGAATCTTGGACCTTCTATAGAAGGTTCACCGTGTTCTGGATGTTGAACCTTGCCAGGGTATTCAGTGGTAAACGGCAAACAATCCAATTTGAGCTTGGGCTTTTGAGTTTCTTTACTTTTTTTGTTTTCTCTACAGGTGATTGCATTGTGTTTTTAATATTACTTTAGCTTCTACAATCTTCACAAGACTGATGACCACCATTGACGCAGACACAGAAGAGACACATGGTAGGACAAACAAGAATACCCGAGCAAAGGTGATTGATGCCATATGATGCAAGGAGAAGAAAAATGGGAGATAAAAGCAGTTGACGGTGCAATATAGGTATATTATTACGTTGCTTGACTATGACCAACTCATCAATTTGTCAATATAGTGCTCAAGATAGAAACGTATATTTTCCAGGTAGAAACACTAGCACAATGATGCATATAAGACAGTTTACACACCAGGCCGGGTAGAAATGGTGACAGCGGACATTTTCACTCACTTTTCACTTTCTTAGTGTTGTATGAAGCCATTTACACAGACATATGGCTAACTTTCTGACCCTGATTAAAGTTTCCTTCATTCTGTCATCAAATTCTATGACACTTGGAGTATGTTGGATAGTTGGGAGAATGTGGTTTTATTTTCTATGATGGTAAAACTGGCTATTCTTCCTCCTGGACCATACTTTCTATGGAATTGTACATTAATCTCCACTGAATGTGGCTCAATTATCTGTAAAGGTTTAAAACTGTTCAGTAACTACAGGCAATCTCGCAACTGCTTCCGCCTCCTAATTACATGACTTGTTCCCGGATAGAAATGCTCACCATAATACAGGAGTATATATTATATATATATCAAAGAGGAAACTGATAAGTCCATACACTCACTTTAATGTAGTTCTGCTAAATCTAAGACTCAATGACTCTTCTGGCCAACCTGTAAAGCCTGTTCCAGCTCTTCCCTCCTGGCACGAATATATTGGTTGTTGGGATGCAGGAAATCTTTTTGCTTAACAGCTCTCTATCCACAAGTTGTTAACATTTTGAACAAATCACTTTTATGGTCCTGCATCTTGTATGATACTCTTGGTTGATTGTTTTCAGTGTATTTTTTCTTTGTACGGTTGCTTTTTTCTGTGCATCTAATTGGAACTTTGCATCTTTTTCAGATTGGTTTTACTGTCAAATGACAGATACAATATTCGGAATCTGGATTCTACTTGTAACAGTGGAGTGAAGGTCAGCGGAATCTGAGGGGCTGATATCGTGTATCTTGTTGCCAGGCTCGCTGCTGTGAGTCTTTCCAAGGCAACTGGAGCTAGTTTAGGTAGGGTATCACCTTTGCATATGAAAGGAATTAATAAGGCCAGTGAAGTGTCCCTTGAGATCCAAAAAGCACTATATTTAAACCGATGGCAATTATTCTTTAGTATTATTTCCTAGTGTTACCTCGCAAATAACACCCGAGCGTTGCACGTAACGTTATGGCGGCCTATTGGCGGTAGCAAAGCTTTTAGGCGCTCATTCTTACTCCTTTTTTTCCTGTCTATCCATAGTGCACAACGTTGACCGGGAAAAATAGCGCATTTCATCAGCAGCATGTAAAATGTGCTGGTGTACAATTTCATTTGTTGCATAGACAGCAGGTGAAAGTATACATGCCTTTTGTGCACAAAGGGATCCGGGCTTATAAATGTCACGATAAGAAAACTCCAACATTATTAATAACTCCAATGCTTGTTTCTTGCATGATCTGGTATCCTGTTTCTTCTTATATGTTTCTGTTTTTAATTTTTCTCTAAGTGATCAAATAAATGTGTAAAACTCTTTGATTGCATATCTTTAGAATGATTTGGAATGTCAGCCTTAATCAAAACTTTAAACGTGGACAATCTGGATAAACAAATAATCAAAACAACATGGAGCTCTGCACACTATAATTTCATTCTTCTTCAGAGAAGACTGCTTTCTCCACAGGTACTGATTCGTTGGGTGCTAGCCACAAGGGCTATAGTTTAAGGACCCAGGGGTTTATTTTCGATTCATTTTTTAAATTAATGTCTTCCAAGTTTGTATACTGGCCTGGTTTAAAATGTTTATATCAAAGGTTTTGCTTATGAATTATGTCAATACTTGCTATCTTATTTTTCTAACATGTTTCTGTTTCTCCTCATTTCTTTTCTACGGCCTTCTCTGACGTTCCATGTGATCTACTTTAAGGTAAATCTGATATCCATTTTTGTCAGAAAACGGCCATAGCCAATTTTTTTGGATTACTGTAGTAATCAAAACAAAGTTTGGTCACTGATGTAGCAGTATTTGGCCTTTAATACAACATGACCTGCTTCGGGATATTTGCTTATGGACTGGTAACGTCTGGACCAAACCCTCATCTCTCCCTTTCATAAGAGCGTAAGAACATAGAGTTCTTACGCTCTTATGTTCTTCCAGTGTCCTCATAGTGAACGACACGTTTAAACTAGGTCATATACGTTTCGTGTTACCACTTGTGTTTACATATATTATGACCGAGTGTCCAGTTAGAAATTTGGAGTCTGTGTGTTGGGAAGAATGACATATTGCTTCAACTCAGCCTGGATTTATTTTAACAACTTTTCATCCATAAATGAATAGTCACTTTGTCAATTTACTTTATCTACTACTTATCACTGCTCTATTTAACTGTACATACGACAGTACTGAATACTACTATATATATTGTGACT